CTGGGGACATAGCTCAGCAGCATAAGGACTTGCCTGGTAAGTTCAAGGTCCAGAGTTTGATCCCTGGTGCCACATGCCAAGATAGCCTGAAGACCCCATGGCCCCGAAACTGGGCATGCTGGTGCATGCCTGTAATTCCAGCACTGGGGAGGCTGAGACAAGAGGATCACTATGAGTCTGACCTGCATAGTGAGACCCTGCATACAAATAAATAAGTAAATAAATACATAAATACTCATTGAGTACTGTTGGTGAATAGGTATAATAAAAAGTCAATTTAAGGATGAGAACATAATATCTTAGGGATGGAGATTTGAGAAAATCCTTCACTATGTTTCCTTCTTTCTGTTTGCACTGTCCTGGTCTCTCTGCTCTCAGCCACACTGCTGTCTGGATCTTCAATTCACTTTGAAAGATGACAACACTTGTGTGAAGGGAGGCATCATTCCCTGTACACAAGTCATCACAACTCTCTATAAAAGAAGACTGAAGTTTCCAATATGAAAGGGAAATTGTTTAAAACACATAAACAGAAATATTAAGGATAAATTTTGTCCTCTATACAAACATTACTCCGGCTCTTTTAGCATTAGTCATAAATATAAAATGTTTACAAAGTGTTACGGCCTGATTCTAGGCATCCTACCATGTCTCCCGTGCCCCTGGGTGAGGCTTTCAGGACTGGCTGAATCTAGAGTGTGTGACACTGGGGTTAAGAGTTGATGGCACTAAATTAATCCACTGATTAGTTTAGCATAATTCTGGGTGTGGGAAACAGGACGGCCCAACTTGAGTGTGGGTGGCACCACCCCAAAGTCTCATAGTCTGATTGGAATAACTGGGAAAGGCAAGCTTGCTTTGCTGACGGCTGCTTCTGCTGGTTCTCCACTGCTGCTGGCTGCTTCCTGTCTGCTGTGCTGTGGGCTGATCCTCCTCTGTCATGTTCCTGTACCATACTGCCCTGCCTTGGAGCCAGTCAACTATGGACTGAAGCCTTCACGAACTGTGAGCTGAAATAAATCTTTCCTCTTTCAACTTGGGGGCATCAGGTATTTTGCCCTGGCAGCTGGAAAAGTAACTAAGACACAGCTGAGGACAAAGCTGTCAGCATGCTTTTTAGGTATTAATTGTACACAGTGTCATGATCCACTAAGTCACAAGCATAAAGCTGTAAGAGTTGCAATACTTCTTGCAACATTTCACATTTGTCATCATCAGAACTTAACAACAAGTGACAACATATTAATGATACTTTTTTTCTGTGTGGCCCTCATTAAGTTGGTCCCCTACTTTGTTCTACAGATGATCAGAAGGTAAGATAGAATCTAAAAGGATTTTCAAAATATACTTTTAGTTTGCTTTCACTTAACACAGGGATACTAAGAAGCATACTTAGTAGTAGATTTTGTGTCCTCAAGTAAGGATTCGGTGCTAGAAAACTAGAGAAATTTTTAAAAAAATTTAATAACTTCAAGGCCAAGTGAACTGAATTCTGATCTAGGAGCATTTGTAGGCAAACCATAATCTTTGAGCCAAGTCTACTCTACTGCCTGTTTTTGTATGACCCAGGAGATAAAATTCGCTTGTACATTTTTATATTGTTGGAAAAAGGACAAATAATATTTACTGACATGAAAATCATGTAAATCACGTGAAATTCAAATTCCAGTGTGAAAATATTTAGTGACACTGGAAAAGCTGTGTGAAATTCAAATTCTGGGGCCCATAAATAAATTTTGATTTGGAACAAGACCATGCCAGTTCATTTATGAATTGGCTCTGGTTGCTTTCATGCTAAAGAGCAGAATTAAGTACTTGCAGTAGAGGTGGTTTGCCCCCCAAAAGTGAAATCATTTACTCTCTGGAACTTTAAAGAAAATATTTGACCTCTGCCTTTAGAGCATAAGAATTCCTACACAGGGCCAGAGCCAAGTTTCTTTTACTGAGCCCATGATAGGAACCAATGATACAAATGGTGGACTTCTGTTGATCTTGTGCTGTATATGAAGCCCTGTGCTACAAGTCTGCATCTATTGTCTGCTGATTTTCACAACTTAGCAAGGCAGATAATATCAAACCTGTATTTTTTTGTTCCAAATCAAATTTTTTAAAAAATTTATTTGATACAGGGTCTTGCTACACAGTTCAGACTCAACTATGAGTTGAGTCTTCCTGTCTCAGCCACCCCAGCACTGGGATTACAAGCATGGTCTACCACACTGGGTTTCAGGGCCTGCAAGGTGTGCCCAGGGTTCTGGAGTCAGCACAGCATACGGTACCGGGGATCCAACTCGGTACCTTGCACTTGCCAGGTCGATGTTTATGCCACGAAGCCATCTCCCCACCCCTCAGTTTCTTTGTTAGTACAAGTTTGCTCACAGAATATTTCTTGTGTGGAGCTAGTAGATGTACATAACACATCTCAGTTACTTTTTTACATCCCTTTCCCTTCCCTCTCCCCTTCTTGATGCCCATCCCTTTCTAAAGATGAGTAAAATGAAGCTCAGAGAGATGTACTAACTCATCCTGAGTTGCTCTTAGCAAGTGGCTGAATTGGGATGCAAATCTAAAACGAAAGTCCATATGCCCAATCCTGCTATCATTGACCTCCAAAGGCTGTCTTGGCATAATGGATGCTTTCCTCCATGAGTAAAGACTGTAGCATTTACTGTCTATGTCTGTTTAGGCTGCTATACCACAGGTTGGGTGGCTTAAACAGCAGGAATTTGTTTCTCACAATTGTGAAGGTTGGGAAGTCCAACATCAAAGCATGACCTGGTGTCTCGTGAAGTGTGCAGACAGTTTTGCATTCTTCTCACTGTTGTTCTCATGTTGTGGAGAGAAAGGAAATGGCTCTCTCCTGTCTCTTTTTTATAAAGACACTGACTAATCCCATCCTAACGGCTCCACCCTGGTGACCTAATTATCCCCACAGGTTCCATCTTCAAAGACTATGGGCACTTAGGATTTAACATTTGAATTTCACAGGGATACAAATTCAGTCTATCACAAATATATCTTAGTCACTTTTCTTCCATTGCTGAGACAAAATACTCAACACACAGAGTTAAAGGAAGGAAGGTTTATTTAGGTCACAGTTTGTAAAGGTTCGCATCTATAGTCATCTGGCTCCAAGGCAAGGTGGCACATGACAGAGGGACACCATTCATTGTGGTGGAAAACAGAAAAAGTCACAAGGGGTGGAGCTTTGCACGGTGGCCAGAAGGTATCAAAAGCAACAAGGAGGGGGCCAGGGAGATGGCTCAATGGAATAAGCACTTCCTTGGCAAGCACAAGGGCCTGAGTTCAATCCCTGGTTCCTGAAAAAAAAAAGCAACAAGGAGAAACAGGACTCTTTCTGTCCCTTATATTGTGTGTAAGCTACCTGCTGTAGGGCAGGTATAGCACTCACACCCTTAATCCTAGCGGGAACTGTGCCAAACCAATCAGCAGACTGATTTGCCAGTCACACATCCTTTATCCCAAGATCACACACTCTAGATTCAGCCACCTGTGAAAAAGCCCTATGACTGCATGAGACTTTGGGGAGACAACAAAAACTAAAAGAACATACTAACGACTATGCAAAATAAGGCTTCCTTTCATTCATCCAAATTTGCAACTTGGTATAGTTTCATATAGAAGTTGTTGGGCTAGTAAACTTAGTCTGAGTGAGTCTGTGTTTACTGAGATTACAGCTTCCTCTGTTATATTTCAGTCCTATCCCCTTCTAAGGATTTTTTTTTTCAGGGGAGATGGCTTTCTTCTGCTATCTATACAAGGAAACTTCCTCACTCTTCAAGTCTGTTATGGTTTTGCTTGATTTGATTTGATTTCTTTAAAAGCAATGACTAAAATAATACATTATTCTCCCAGGTTCAATAAACTAGCAGAACAAAGTTTATTTTCATTCTCCTTGTCTGTCTTAATGATGCATAGCATTTTGGTGTTGTACTACTTTATCTTTTGAAAGGCAACAGAAGCTAAACAGGCAGTTTTCAGCTTATAATAGCTTCTTCCATTGCCGAAGAAGATGCATAACTGCTCAGATGCAATGACCATATGATACTGCTCTTATTGTTTTCTCCAAGTAGTTTGAATATCATTTTCCTGAACAGCTTAAAGATTTTAGTTCTCCTTATGGACAGAAGGACTCAGCACGAGTATGTGTGTGTTTGTGTATGTGTTGTTCCTGCACCGGAAATGGGTACACAATGAGGCAAGAAATAGCTCTATTCCCTTACAGGTACTTTCTAATATTTACCCAAGAATACCAGTGTGATCTCTGGATTCCAAGTCTTCAGGCATTCCAACTACACAACTACACAGTCACATTTAGATACATCTCTAAGTAAAATCATCTTGCACTTTAGAGGGATGAGAGGATCCATTACCTGAGTAGTGTGAACAACGCAGACTTTTTAAAAGCACGTTTGCTTCTTTCAAAAGAATTGAAACAGTACATTCACTTAGATATATTTTTACTTGTCTTATTAAATACACTTTTAGAAAATATATTTCTTCCAGATTTCTGAGTCAAATTTCTTTTTTTAATTTTATTTATTTATTTTGTATTTATTTGGTTCAGGGTCTCACTAGCCAGCTCAGACTTGTAGTGATCCCTCCTGTTTTTCAGCCTCCCCAGCACTGGGATTACAGGCTTGCGCCTGACTCAGTGGCTGGATGAGCATGGATATCCTAGAGTGGTTCTCTAGGATAACCACTTCAGTGGGCTGTAGGACTCAAGATTATCAACCTGAGAGAAACAACTGTAGTGCCTGTCTAGCAGGTAATCTCTAAAACACAACATTCCATTGATAAAGCACTTTCTGGATTCTTATATGATTTTTTTCAAAGTTTGTGTCAATGTTTGTCATTACCTCTCCTTTCTAAAATATTTATGCATATTAAGTCCAGACAGATAGCTTCTTATGTACTAAATTCTCTCAACTCCCTCTGGAAAACCTAATGAAAAATCCATCCACTTTCTTTTTTTGGGGGGAGGGGGAGTATGACCTTTATTGAACTTATCCACCAGAGTGGAAATAATGTCTGTACAAAACCAAATGTTTGTTACTATAACTTCTGCATCACAATTAAAATCCAAACAGTTTTAAAAACAGTCAACTCAATCAAAACCCACTACTTCAGAATCAATAGCTTCTTTGAAGCCACAGTAACACTTAAATATGGTTAAGACTCGAATGCAGAAATTTGGTTGGCTGGAAAGATAATTAAACTTCCACCTTGCTCAAATAGAATTACAAAAAGGCAAAATTGTGTTTTTCACAGAGATACAGTCCACTGGAATCACCAACACGGGACAGCTATTAAAGACTGTTAGAGTCCTGAGATAATAAGGAATCCAGGCATCCTTTACACAGGCTTCTGTTGTCCTTTCTTCCCAATCAGAGACTTGTGGGTATGTGGGATGACACCACCTCGCGCAACTGTAGCTCTGACGAGCGAGTCCAATTCTTCATCCCCATGAACGGCAAGCTGCAAGTGTCGAGGGGTAATGCGCTTTACTTTTAGGTCTTTGGATGCATTCCCTGCCAGTTCAAGCGCCTCCACCGTGAGGTACTGCAGGATGGCCACGCTGTACACGGCGGCCGTGGCGCCCACGCGCCCGTGGCTGGTCGTCCTGGACTTCAGGTGTTGATGGATGTGGCCTACGGGGAACTGCAGGCCAGCCCTCTGTGAGCGGGAAACCACCTTTGTCTTGGCCTTTCCGGAGTCCTTCTGGGCCTTCCCGCCAGCCATTTCCAATTCCGCGGAGGCGCAAGCACCCAGGCAGTGAATAGGCCGGTTCGACACGCAGTGAGACCCACAGCTACTCCTCCACCGCACCGCGATTCAAACTGCCCATCCACTTTCACTAGTCGAAACATCCTTGTCCTCTATTTGGTTTGGTTTGGTTTGGTTATGTTTAAAAAAAATTAGATGAGAAATACATGGAATTAAAGCCAAAAAATACTTTTATGATAAGGGATACCAAGTGTATGGCATCCCTGTGAAATTACCTGCATCCACCCTCAGCCACAGTAAGAATCACAGTGTCCTGAGTCCTACATTCCTGTGACCTTGAGGTAAAAAGAGAAGGGCATCTCTATTGCTGTGATAAAACAAGCATAACTGTGAAAATTAATATTTAGGTAAGGCATTGCTATAGTTATATAATTATTGTAATAAATTAATATAATAAAGCAACACATAGATATATGCATAGAATGTAATTTTCTGTCTTTTTTTTCTGAAACAGAATCCTGCTATGTAGTTTAGGCTGGCCTCAAACTTGAACTCACTGCATAGCCCAGGCTGGCACTGAATTTGCAGAGATTTTCCTGTATCAGACTCCCAAGGGCTGGTGATTTTCTTATCTAGGGAAAATTTGAAGTAGAAACTTGTCTGAGCTAGCAAGACAAGTTCTTTTTTAAAAATTGTATTTGGTTGTTGCAGGGTCTCACTACACAGCTTGAACTTGTAGTGATCTCCTGCTTTCAGTTTTCCCAGTGCTGGGATTACAGGCATAGGCCACTATGCCCAGACTCTGGCCAGCTCAACCCATCCTTGGGGTGTGGCTGGCTTGGCATGTGGTGCTGCAGATTGAACTGTGGTCCCTGTGCGTGCCTAAACTTGCCTAAGCTTGCCTAAACAGGCATTTTAATCTGCTGAGCTAGCTCACTGGCCCCTAACACAGCTTCTAAAATCAATGTGTAATGTGAAAACCATATATAATCCAATGTAATCTCAAAAAAGACTCAGACACAGTATTCCCAGTTTTATGCTTACAACTGTGTGTAGGGTATACCAAATGTAAAGACTGTACATGTCAGATATGTTTGAAGTATTTTAATTTCATGAGAACAACTGAATTTGACTACAAGTATATATGTAATGTGATTCCACTACGTTTCACCTCTTCTGAATAGTGAGGAATAAAAGATAATGATGATGATAATGTTAACATGCTCACCCATGACTCCTGGTAGACACTATAGCCACTGAGACAGTCCCAAGCCTGGTATGGTCTCATTTCATATTATAGAGCAAAGGTCAAATAATTGAAGCATATATCATATGTTTCAGTAAGGGAGTCAACCCAATCTTTTGGTCCTTCTTTTCCAGTGATGGCAACTCTTTTAGAATTTCAATGATACAAACAGCCTTCTGTGTGTCATAGGTTTACCACTGCTCTAGTCAATCTCTTCTTTTATTTTTATATCGTTCTCTGTGATTGGTCAGCACTCTGACTTTGCAATATCAATGTCTTACCAATTGTCTGAGATAGCATTTAGCGTACACTCAGAGAAACCAGCCTCTGGCATTTCTTCCTGTAGCCTTTCCTTCCCATCGAGAATGTCCATTGACAAAGGATGTATCACTTGGGTGATTCTCATTTGCTGACTCAGCCTTGTGTGTGTTTTATGAATGGAGATTTCCTATTCCACTTACCCACGGAGATGAACTAACCGGAGAATTATTCAGTCATGCTCATTGATCCTCATCAAATAAAACAGAAAGAGAAAGGAAAGAAATAGGTAGTAAAGTGCATAATTCTCACATAAAAGTCATCTGGATTAGACTTACATTACAGAAACTATGAATCTTTTGATGGAATAAGGCAGAAACAGCCCAGAGAAGATTCCAAAGCATTCCTGAATAATCAAAGTCCAAGGACAGCAGATTAAGGTCTCTGAAAGATTAGAGTTGACCTGAAGCTCACAATGCTACCAGGGAGCTCAAACTGAAAAGAGCACCGCCATTCCCTTGCTCAAATTGGGTCCAATAAGAATGTAACCTGAAAATCAGCTACATTTTGGGTAAAACAAGGACGCTCACGTCTTAAAGGTCAATTTGACTAAATTAAGAAACTTCCAGAGATGTGACTGGGACACAGGGTGCTGTACTCATCAGTGGTTTAATCTACTGGTAGGAGGGCCCATGGGAGGTGGGCAAACTTGTGGGTCATGTCTTTTACCAGCATCATTCCCCTGCTCTGCTTCCCAGCCAACATGAACGAAGCAGCTTGCTCCGTCACACTCTTCCGCCATAATGCACCTGCTGTGGAGCCAGCAATACAGACTGCGCCCTCTGAAGTCATGAGCCAGCATAAAATGTCCCCCTTTAAGCTGTAGGAGTGATGGCTGCATCCTGGTCACTGGAAAGCGCAGCCACACAACTAGGAAAGAAAGTAACAAGATCAATGTTTTTCATCCATGGAAAAATAGTTGAGTAAGTTAAATTGCTTCTTGTCATTTACTTCAGGGGATAAAATGCTCTGAAATCTGATATACTATAGCTCTTAATCTTTCTACGCACATGGAAAGTATACTAAGATACCAGTGCAGGAAGAAAGGACGAACGTTACGGACTGCAGGTTAGTAGCTTTTAGAGAAGATCTTCATGGCTCTTTTGAAAATCATAGGATGTTAGTTATTAGCTCAAGGGGTCACCCTGGATGGGACACTTTGAATTCATTAGAGACCATGTAAACAGAGACAATCTTACATAAAGCAGCTTTCAGGCAAATCTTTTTTTAAAAAAATGATTTCCATAGTCAGTGTTGGAATTGAAACTACTAATAAAGTTTAACACCATACTCACTACAGAGAAGAAATGCTGAAGGAATCCAACCCATTTTTATAGAGCAAGTACTGAAGAGCAAATTTGAAATGAAGAGGCAATACGTTGATAATAGACACATAAGTAAAGACACAAAATATGATCTAAAGTAAAAAGAAAAACTATCAACACACATGGGCTGTAGAACTAAATGTTGGAATGAGAAAATAAGAACTGGGAATGTAATTAAGTATAAGAGTGCTTGCCTATCAGGTGAGAGGGCCAGGGTTTCACCCCCAGACTTTGGAGGTGAAGCTGGAGGTGAAGATGAACATGTAGTTAGAGATAGACACGGTAGAGGTGGATATGGAGAAGGATATGAATCAGAAAATGAAAATGGGGATGGAGATGAGGAAGGGGAGTAGATGGATGGGGTTGACTGAAGAGTTGGAGGTAGAGATGGAGATGGGGGTGGACATGAGGGTGAAGATGGGGCAGAGATGGAGATCGAGATAGACATAAAGACAAAAGATAGAGGGAAGCAGGGCAGAGAGAAAAGATATAGCATATGGGAGAACAATACAAATATCTTTCCATCCAAAAAAAAAAGGAAAAAGAAAAGTCACAAGATAATGAAAGTGAGGCTGGCAAGATAGCGCAGCAGTCTAAGAGCCTACTTGGCAAGTGCAGGGACATAGGTTCGATCCCCAGCACCACATGCCGTGCTGGCCCCAGCCGGGATAGGCAGAGCAGGCTACTGAGACTGGGCATGTGGTGCATGCCTCTAATCCCAGCATTGGGGAGGCTGAAACAGAAGGATCGCTACAAGTACAAGCTGTGTAGCAAGACCATGTACCAAATACATTAAAATTTAAAAAGATAATGAAAGTGCTAAAAAAAAAAAAAAACCTTTTAATACAGACATGTTCAGATATACAAAAACAGAACTTGTTACCAATAGTTCAAGGAAAATTAAAGGACGTTCTTCTGGTTGGTGGGATGTAGGATTACATGGAAAACTTTACCTATAGGAAGGATTTAGGAATGCTAGAAATAGCAAATATTTGGATGAATACAAATATTAAAGGATTCCCTACCTCTTTATTTAAAAGGCAAGTGTTGAGAGCAAAATTAATAGCATTATATTCTGAAAACTATACTCTACACACATGTAAATTATATGACAATACTATCACAAAAGTGGTATGATGCTAACTTTCAGTGGCGTCTGGTGACTTAAGATGCAGTTTGTAACCCAGAAACAATGAGTAAGAAAGCCCAATTAATATGCTTATCTAAAAGCTGAAGGAATCTAAGCAGAATATTCAGTCATATTTATCTCAAATGAAAGCAGAAAGTGAGAAGAGACAGGGTAGTACCTGTAGTTGTAATGGCCAAGACTGTTGAAACCTGATGAAGGTAGTAGTGCAGAAGCTAGCTTTTGGAGGCCTTACCTGTACAGTAGGTATAATTAACTGGGAAGAAATCAGCCTTTCTAGGATCATGGTCTGCAGACAGCACCAACAGCACTGCCTGAGAGCTTCCTAGAACTGCAGAACGCTGGGCCCCAGCAGAATCAGAACTAATAAGATGCTTGGTTGATTCTCACACAAATTATGATTTGAAAAGCATTGTTGTGTAATATCTTCACTTTCCCTGTTTCTTTTTTCCGTCATTTGTTTCAAACATATTAGCAAGATTAAGATTTGAATGACATTAGATCTTTCTCTAAAGAGAAAAATACAGGGAAAACAATGATACAGAATTTCATAATAATATCATAGAAAAATAACAATGTTTATTATATGTATATTATTATCTTCAAAGTAGTTGTCAGATTATAAGCTACAGGCATGAAAATTGATTAAACAATATAAGCACAAGCTGTACCTTTTAATGAACTAATAGAAATTAGTAGTATAATTATTTTAGCTATCTTGGAGAAGGGAAAAGAAAAAACGTACAGGTAGATAGGTAGATAGATAATAGATCTTTTAGGGTGACACATGATTCTCTGAAAATGTCATTAAATTTGGCTACACACATGGTTTTATTTCCCAAAGTTTTCTAATCAAAAGTCACTTCTATAAACCTACTGGAAGATAAAATAGCTTTAAAAAACCTGTAAATATACATGTTAGAAAGGATTTTCTAAGGGCCAACCAAATAGCTCAGTGAATTAAAATGCCTGCAAGCAGGCACAGGGGCTGGGT